TTACATGTTTCTTAGTGAGAAGCTTCAGGCCGAGCTAGAAACGGCTCGGAAGGAGCATGCCGGTTTGGTCGAGCAAGTAATATGAATATTCAATCTTAGTGATGACGATTCAGACACTTTGGCTAACGACCCAAAACTACAGGCTCAAAAGAGACTTGACCAGGTCGGGTAGCTTCAGGTAGAGGTGGATGCGGTGAAGGCCGAGGCTGAAGAATGGAAGAAAAATATGGACCGTCTGGCCTCAGAAAAAGAAATTGCCCGGACACAGTTGGCTTCTGCTGAGGTTCAGTTTCGGGCTGCAAAGGAGAAGAACTTGGCGCAGGCCAAAATGATCGAGGAACTCCAATCTCAGCTGAGCTCAGCTGTTTCTGGACAAGAGAATCTGGCCAAGGAGCTCGAGGCTTGCATGTCAGAAGTTATTACGGACCGGAATGAAGCTCATAAAAGGGTGGACCAGCTTAAAGTTGATGCCGAAGCTATCCAGGAGCAGGCAAAAAATATGGTGAAGCATGCATGGTGGGAATACCGAAGGGAGACCCTCGAGGGAGTTCATGCCCAGAATTTTGACATATTGATCGAAATCGAGAATGCCAACACATGCGAAGCCAATGCTCAGAGGATAGCTTTTCCTGAGGAGGATTCCGAGGCATCCAAAGAGTTGGGTGAGTCCAGTGGCGAAGAAGACCCCGAAGGTGATGACGCAGCCCCTGGTGAAGAATAGGCCGTTCAAATTTGTTTTTTGTACTGACTCTTTTTCGAGGCAGTGTGGCCTTTGTATATAACATGCAACGGGGCTATTCAGCCTTTGTAAAGAAGATTTTGATATATATATNGTCGAGATGCCTTAGTTTGAAATGATAAGGTTGTGTTCAAAGGTTCGAACCTTGCCTTTAACAAAATTTTCCTTTTCTTTATTATTTGTTCTTGCAAAATATCGAGATGCCTTAGCATGAGATAATTAGGTTGTGTTCGAAGGTTCGAACAAACCTTACCTTTATCGCCTTTTTGGGTTAAGGTTTTGTAGGGGTTCGGTGTTACCGATAATATTTCCCCGAAATATTTTAGGTTTATAGCTTTGCCGAGGGCAGCCTTTAGAACCGGTTATAAGAGTTTTTCAAAGGCCTTATTTTTGTTACGATCCTCGGACGTCTCCGAGTCGTGTTAATATGGTCGTGGCCTTTTTAGTTCGGGCACTGCCAAATAAGCTTTTATGCCCTTGAGTGTTTTTAACTCGGAACGGCCTTATCCTTTAGATTCAGGCAATGCCAAATAAGCTTTTATGCCCTCGAGTGTTTTTAACTCGGAACGGCCTTAGCCTTTAAATTCGGGCAATGCCAAATAAGATTCATGCCCTCGAGTTTTATTAACTCGGAACGACCTTAGCCTTTAAATTCGGGTAATGTTAAATAAGCTTTATGCCCTCAAGTTTTATTAACTCGGAACGACCTTAGCCTTTAAATTCGGGTAATGTTAAATAAGCTTTATGCCCTCAAGTTTTATTAACTCGGAATGGCCTTAGACTTTAAATTTGGGCAATGCCAAATAAGCTTTTATGCCCTTGAGTGTTTTTATTAACTCGAAACGACCTTAGCCTTTAAATTCGGGCAATGCCAAATAAGCTTTTATGCTTTTGAGTGTTTTTATTAACTCGGAATGGCCTTATCGTTTAAATTCGGGCAATGTCAAATAAGATTTTATGCCCTCGAGTGTTTTTATTAACTACGAACGGCCTTCGCCTTTAATTTCGGGAAATGCCAAATAAGCTTTATGCCCTCGAGTTTTATTAACTCGGAATGGCCTTAGCCTTTAAATTCGGGCAATGCCAAATAAGCTTTTATGCCCTCGAGTGTTTTTATGAACTCGGAATAGCCTTAGCCTTTAAATTCGGGCAATGCCAAATAAGCTTTATGCCCTTGATTTTTATTAACTCGGAATGGCCTTAGCCTTTAAATTCGGGCAATACCAAATAAGCTTTTATGCCCTCGAGTGTTTTTATTAACTCGGAATGGCTTTAGCCTTTAAATTCGGGCAATGCCAAATAAGCTTTTATGCCCTCGAGTGTTTTTATTAACTCGGAATGGCCTTAGCCTTTAAATTCGGGCAATTCCAAATAAGCTTTAATGCCCTCGAGTGTTTTTATGAACTCGGAATAGCCTTAGCCTTTAAATTCGGGCAATGCCAAATAAGCTTTATGCCCTTGATTTTTATTAACTCGGAATGGCCTTAGCCTTTAAATTCGGGCAATTCCAAATAAGCTCTATGCCCTCGAGTTTTATTAACTCGGAATGGCCTTGTAATCTACTATCTCGGAACGTCCGAGATTGTTTTTCGATCGGTAGTCCCCGAGTGAATGTTCGAAATCGGATTTTAAGATTGCCCTTAGGCTTGATGTCTAGTCCCCGAGTGAATGTTCGAACTCGGATTAAGGTTGCCCTTAGGCTTGATATCTTTAGCTGTAGGGAATTCCTTGAAAAATGCAAGAAATATTTTTGAGAACGAGATGTGTATATGCAAAGGGGGCTCTTTTATTCTTGCACATAATAGTTGTACATATATACATGTTTAGTGCCAAGGGTCGATTGATTTGAGCGGGCACAGTTCATTTGACCATTTGGCCCTTACAATAAATCCTGTTGATCGAGGCCCTTTAATCACGAAGTTGAAATGCTATGTCAAATTCGATATCCCCAAGGATCTTTCCCCCCAGTGTTTGAGGTTGACCAAAGAGAGGCCTCGAATGCGGTTGTGATCATTGCAACCAGTTGATAGCCGGCCTTCGATTCTAAGTTAGCACGATTTAGTTGTTGCCTCGTTAAAAACCTTGCCGAAAACCCCATTTGGGACAAAATCGGTCCAAGGGAAAAAGAGTGCAACGCGTGCTTTCAGACCTAGTATCTCGTATTATTCTTTGTAGGTTGCCTGCAAGTGTCAGTTTGGAATGTAAACAAAATGAAAGAAAGAATTGGGGTCGTACCTTAGCAATAATATCGCTTTAAGTGAGTTATATTCCAGTTGTTCTGTAATTGCTCGCCGTTTATTATTTCGAGCTTGTAGGATCCCTTTTCGGTGATCTCGATAATGTTTTATGGTCCTTCCCAATTTGGGCCCAATTTCCCTTATTTCGGGGTTCGAGTGCTTAGCGTGACTTTTCTTAGTACCAAGTCCCCGACATTGAAATATCGAAGGTTAGCCCTTCTATTATAATACCTCTCGATCTGCTGCTTCTGGGCAGCCAATCGAACAAGGGCGGCTTCATGCCTTTCATCCAATAGCTCTAGGCTCATATTCATGGCCTCGTTATTTGATTCTTTTGTTGCATATCGGAATCTGATACTTGGCTTCCCAACCTCGACCGGTATTAAAGCTTCGGTGCCATAAACTAAAGAGAACGAGGTGGCCCCGATGCTGGATTTCGAGGTTGTGCAGTATCCCCATAGGACCTCAGGTAGCATTTCCTTCCATTTTCCTTTTGCGTCAGTTAACGTCTTTTAAAGGCTTTGGAGTATGGTTTTGTTGGTAGACTCAACTTGTCCATTCCCACTAGGGTTATAGGGAGTGGATAATATCCTTTTGATCTTTTGGTCTTCGAGAAACTTACTTACATTGCTGCCAATAAATTATTTCTCGTTGTCGCAAAACATTTCGGTCGGTATCCCGAATCGGCATATGATGTGGTCCTAAATAAAATCAATGACTTCTTTTTCCCTGATCTTCTCATATGCCTGTGTTTCCACCCATTTAGAGAAATAGTCAGTCATAAATAAAATAAACTAAGCCTTACCGGGTGCCCGAGGGAGGGGGCCGACGATGTCCATCCCCCATTTCATGAAAGGCCATGGTGACAAAATCGAATGCAGCGGCTCCCCAGGTCGATAGATCATCGGAGCATGCCTTTGGCATTCATCACATTTCCGAACGAACTCCTTTGCATCTTTTTCCATGTCGATCTAGTAGTAACCGGCTCTGATTAGTTTTCGAACCAGCGACTCGACGCCCGAATGATTTCCACAAGTACCCTCGTGGATTTCCCTCAGAACGTACTTGTTAGGTTTTAGTTTTAATGATGAAAAAAATAATATAATTGCTTTTGGTGTAGGGACTCGAGGAAATCAACCAAGATCGAAGTGCACAAAGAGAAACAATCAAAGCTGAAGGAAGAAATCAATCAAAGATTGATTGAAGCATTCAAAAGGAAAAGAAGCACTGATGATCCGGTAAAATAATCAATGCGAGATTGATTGAAGAGTTAAAAAGGAAAAGAAACATTGAAGATCCGGCAAGATAATCAATCAGTAGCTATTACTGGAAGGACCCAGAATTAAGGAGCAAATCAGGCGCTATCAAGACTTAAAAATGGAAAGCTGTCAAAGTCCACACATCAAGGAAGAGTAACGGGAAATAACCTTATTCTTGGAAAGAATCAATTTCTTTCCAAGGATCAAATCTCTTGGGTTGGAAAATCTCTTCAGTAACGGTCTCCTACAAAGTATTTATACGCAACCTTAAGTCTTAGAGAGAGATATTTTGATCAAACCAATTATCATCTCTTTGTTCTACTTCAAACAAACATTGTAGCTCTACTAGATCTGTTGTGTAACAAGTTAGAGAAGAAAGAGAGAAAACTACTAGCGAGGCATTGTATCAAGTAAAGACAAGTGACATAGAAACTGAGTTGTTGGTGTAAACTACACCATTCACTTTGTACTCAAGAAACTCAACCACTGAAAGAGAACTCTCTTGCAACCCAAGGGGACTGGACTAGGATTCACATTGAATCCGAACCAATATAAAAACTCCGGTGTCTTTAATTCCTGCACTTTACTTCTGCATTTTAATTCTGCACTTCTTATTATCTCGCTATTACATCTAGTCGACTAATTGGAAAACAAGTCAACTTATAATAATTAATTTTAAAATAAGCAATTCACTCTTGTACTTTCAATTGGTATCAGAGCAAGGCTCACATTTTTCTTTTGCTTAACAGCTTGTGAGAAAAGATCATGGCTAATCAAGTTATTGTCGGAGCACTCTTCCAAGAAGGAACATCGCAAGTAAAGCCACCATATTTCAATGGACAATATTTCTCTCAGTGGAAAGTGCGTATGGAAATATACGCAAAGTCTTATGATGTCAAGGTCTAGCGAGTTATCAAAAAATGGAACTATCCTCTACCGGATGCTGCTCAACCACCTGCTGATCCTGAAGATATAGATGAATTTACTGATGAACAAATGGCAATTGTGCAAGTTAATGCTAAATCAAGGAATCTTCTTTATAATACTATAAGTGGTGAGGAATATGAGAAAATCTCCAGTTGCGATACAGCCAAAGAGATGTGGGATAAACTTGAAGTTACTTATGAAGGAGCCAGTAAAGTGAAAGAAACCCATATCAACATGTTGATTCATGACTACGAAATCTTCCAGATGAAAGAAGGAGAATCCATTGAAGAGATGTTTGCCAGATTTAGCAAAATCATTAGCGATCTAAAAGCTTTTGGCAAACCATACTCAAGTGGTGATCAAGTTAGGAAACTTTTGAGAAGTCTACCCACTACTTGGCAGACAAAAGTGGTTACACTTGAATCATAGGATTTGAACAAATTATCATACGATGAACTTCGAGGAGAACTTATAGCCTTCGAGAAAACTCATCTCAAGAAAACAAACCAAGAAGAAAAGAAGAAAACAATTGCTTTCAAGGCGACAACTGAAAGAGCAGACAATGATATTGATGACGACCCTGAAGCTCTTCAAGAAGAAATTGTCATGGTATCAAGGAACATGGATGGTTTAATGAGGAGATACAGGAATACAAGAAGAGGCAGGATACCACCCAGGAGAACTAGGCAATATAACAAACAAGACAAAAATGATGGGAAATGCTCTGAGTGTGGAAGATTTGGGCATGTTCAAGCTGAGTGTCCTAATCTTAAAAGAAAGGTTTCCAGAGGATTTAACAAGAACAAATCATTTGGAAGCTGGAGTGATGAAGACAGTTCAGAACACAAAGAGATAGCAAATCTATGTTTCATGACTTATCTGGAAAACGACATGAACAAACTCTCAAGGTACTGGATAGATGAGGAAACTTCAGATCACGAATACAAAGATGACAATGAGAACTGTTTCATGGCGTGAGGTGAAACAAGCGAGGAACACCACAGAAGGAGTCACAAAGGAAAATGGTACTTAGATAGTGCGTGTTCCAGTCACATGATAGGTGACAAAAATATGTTTAAAGAAGTTACAAAAATAGACGGAGGAAGTGTCAAATTTGGTGATGACTCAAAAGGAAAAATAGTCGGTACCGGAACAGTTCCTTTCAATAATAACTGTGATATCACTGAGGTTTATCTTGCTGACGGACTTAACTACAATCTTTTGAGTATAAGTTAGCTAAGCGACTCAGGGTATGAAGTAAAGTTCAAGAAAACAGGTTGTGCTATTGAAGATGAGACAGGTAAAATAATCCTCCCATGTAAAAGGTATGAAAATGTCTATATTCTTGATGGTTTTGAAAATATAGATAGTCATATTTGTTTAACGTCCATATCTGATGATCTATGGTTATGGCATAAGAAACTTGGCCATGCAAACATGCATATGATAGAGAAATGTTTCAAGCATGATTTAGTTATTGGTTTATCTAAACTCAATTTCTCTAGAAATCATGTATGTGATGCATGTCAGATTGGTAAACAAACTAGAAACTCTTTCAAAAATAAAGATATTGCATCTACTTCAAAGCCCTTGTAATTGCTTGATACGGACTTATTTAGACCCACTAGAACTGCTAGCATAGGAGAAAAACGATATGCCTTTGTTATTGTTGATTATTACTCACGCTTTACTTGGGTGATTTTTCTATCTCACAAATATGAAGCTTTGAAAAGTTTTGAGATATTCTGTAAAAAGGTCGAAAGAGAAAAAGGGTATCTTATTATAATAATTCAAAGTGATCATGAAGGAGAATTTGAAAGCAGGGCATTTGAAGATTTCTGCAATGATCAAGGATACACCCACAATTTGCCTGCTCCAAGGTCACCCCAACAGAATGGAGTTGTTGAGCAAAAAAATAGGACTTTACAAGATATGGCAAGAACTATGATACTAGAATATTCGTTGCCAAATCACTTTTGGGCAGAAGGAGTAAGTACAACATGTCACATTCTCAATCGATGCCTCATATGACCTATCCTGAAGAATACTCCTTATGAATTGTGGAAAGGTAAACGGCCCAATATAAGTTACTTTCATCCGTTTGGAAGCAAGTGCATCATTCACAATAATGGTAAGGATAATCTTGGAAAATTCGATCCTAGAAGTGGCGAAGGTATTTTTCTGGGTTATTCATTAAATAATAGATCCTTTATAGTCTATAATAAACACACACTGTGTGTAGAAGAATCAATACATGTTATATTTGATGAAAATAACTCTTCGGTCGAGAAAGAAATTATTGCAGGTGATGAAGATCAAATTCAAAAAATTCTGAAGATAAGCAAATCTCAAAAGTTGACTAATAAACCTGATGGTGTAATGGAGTCAACTAATGAGATTAGCAACAGTCAATCAGAATCTTCGAAGGAGCCAACTACTCATACAAGTACAATTCGTCCAAATGAATGGGGAGGTGAACCAGAATATCCTCAAAAGTTTATCATAGGAGACCCAAGCGAAGGAATGAAAACCAGGGGAGCTCTCAAAAAGAAAGCAAACATAGCACTGATTTCCCAGATTGAACCAAAGAAAATAGAGGAAGCTCTGAAAGACTCAAGCTGGTTACAAGCAATACACGAAGAGCTAGATCAATTTGACAAAAATCAAGTGTGAAAACTGCTGCCTAAGCTTGAAAACGCTCCTGTAATTAGAACAAAATGGGTTTTCAGAAATAAGCTAAATGAGGATGGAAAGGTTGTGAGAAACAAAGCCAGATTAGTAGCTCAAGGATACTCACAATAGGAAGGAGTCGACTACGATGAAACCTTTGCTCCAGTAGCTCGACTGGAATCAATACGAATTCTTCTTGCATACGCATCCTTTAAAAGATTTAGGCTCTTCCAGATGGATGTCAAAAGTGCCTTTTTAAATGGTTTCATTGAGGAGGAGGTATATGTAAAACAACCCCCTGGATTTGAAGATTCAAAGTTTCCTTACCATGTGTACAAATTGACCAAAGCATTGTATGGACTTAAACAAGCTCCACGAGCATGGTACGAAAGACTCAGCTCATTTCTTATTGATCACGGATTTACAAAAGATAAAGTAGACACTACCCTTTTTATTATAAGATCATCGAAAGGTAATCTCATTATTCAAGTTTATGTTGATGATATTATTTTTGGTAGTACTAATTCTCTTCTGTGCAAGGAATTTTCAAATCTTATGCAAAGTGAGTTTGAAATGAGTATGATGGAAGAGCTAACGTTATTTCTTGGACTTCAAATTCAACAATCTGAAGAAGGAACGTTTATATGTCAGACAAAATACACAAAGGAGTTGATTCAGAAGTTCGGTATGAGTAATGCTAAAGCTATTGGCACACCAATGAGTCCTTCAACAAGTCTTGACAAAGATGAACAGGGAAATCCTGTTGATGAAACTAAATATCGTGGAATGATTGGCTCCCTTATTTATCTAACTGCTAGTCGACCAGATATTATGTTTAGTATTTGTAAATGTGCCAGGTTTCAGCCAGCTCCTAAAGAATCACATCTGCCTACAGTAAAGAGAATTATTCGATATCTCATTGGAACTATTTCTCACGGATTATGGTATCCACGCTCTAACAATTTTAAACTAGAAGGTTTTTCAGATGTTGATCTTGCAGGTGATAAGGAAGACAGAAAAAGCACCAACGGAACATGTCAATTACTTGGAAAAGCACTGATATCTTGGAACAGTAAAAAGCAAGGATCAATTGCACTATCCACAACTGAGGCTGAGTATATCGCCATTGGACAATGTTGTGCACAATTACTATGGATGTCTCATCAATTGGGTGACTATGAACTATTCTTTAAACCCATTCTAATTTTCTATGATAACTCTAGTGTTATATGTCTCTCAAAAAATCCTGTGCATCACTCTAGGGCAAAGCATATAGACATCAAGCATCATTTCATTAGAGATCATGTTCTTAAGGGAAATATAGAACTATCTTTTGTTGGAACTACTGATCAATTAACAGATATTTTCACTAAACCTTTACTTGAAGACAGATTTTGCTTTTTAAGAGAATTACTTGGTATTATTTCCATTGATCATTAATATTAGGACCTATGAGGTATTTTTATGTTTTGTATGCCTAAAGTTTAAACTTTGTCTTTTCATAGTCATTAATAGCGCCTCCGAATTCCCTCTCTTTTCCTCTCTTTTCACATCAGTTGCAGCGTTCAAGAAAGGAAAACCAATCATTATGCCTGTTCAACTGACACCCTTTCCTTTCCTGTACCCAATCGTCAGAAACCCCTTCTTTTAATCTCTGAAACCCTCTTCCAATCTCCATCGTTCCCATAACCTAGAAACCCTCTCCGAGACACTCTTTAACCAGTTTCTTCCATGGCTAAACACTCTAAAAATCCCTCAGCCTCCACCAGAAAAAGTACTCGCTCCAGAGCAAAACCTTCTTCCCAGCGATCATTCTCATCCTCTAGGAGAAAAAGCCCTAGGAAAAAGACCTTTGGAAGAACCTCCTGAATCCTTTACTCCAAAGAAATCGAAAATAGATCTCTCAAGTTCTTTAGAGTCTGACCTAAATTTCTGGGATTCTCCAAACAAAGATTTTTTTATTGCTCTGAAAGACAAGCCAATCGCTCATGGCAGAGTAGTCGACCTTGATGACATGAAAGCCCTAAACTGTAAGGTAAAAGATCTGTTTGTTTATCAAGGCTGGTCAAAATTCTTTTCTGTTCCCCCTCCTAAAGTCTATGAACCCCTAGTAAGAATGATTTATGCCAATCTTCGCTCTAGTAAGTCTGACAAGTTGGAATCCTTAGTGTTAGGAAAGCGCATCGTTCTTGATTGTGCCATGTTTGACTCAATTTTCAAATGTAAGTGTTCTGGTTTTCCCATGCTTTTCAAAAATTCTTGGCCTGATGATTTTGAAATCACCTTTGATCAAGAAAAATGTTGTATTACTGAGTGTTCATCTGAATCCCTCCCGAACCAGTTAGGTCCAAGTGATGTTAGATTTGAAACTCATGTTCTAGCCCATATTGTTGCAACTACTCTGCTCCCTCGTATTGGCTCCTTCTCCACCTTCTCTCAAAGAGATACCTTTCTTGTCTATTGCCTTGTGACCAAACTCAAGATCAAACTGTCCTCCTGGGTCATAAATTTTATGATTGAAAGTGCTGATGACCCCCACCAGTTTGCCCTATGGCATGGCCATCACTCACATTCTGGAAGCTCATAATATCTCTATCTCTGAATATCCCTTTGTCTCTGTTTCAAAATCTTATAATTCTAGGGCATTTGCTAGTATGGGATATGTGTGCGTGAAGGGCTCCTGGGTTAAGAAATAGGAAGGTGAGGTCAAGAATGTTCAACCTGATTCCAAGACCAAAGCCTCTGTTTCCCATCATAGTCTTAGTAATCCTGATCTTGCTGAGAAACTGACTGCCATTGACAACCAGCTGACCACCATCAAAGATCTTCTTGCTGCCACTCAGTCCACTGTTGGAGACATTCGTGCAATCTTCAAAGAGACAGGGTCTGATGTTTCAAAGATAAGGGTTGCAATTCTCAGAGTTAGGAAAAATGCAGTCAAGGCATTCAAGGAAGTACACGACAGGCTTGATGGAGTGACTGTCTCAGCTAATGCTAGCTTTGATCAATTGAAGGAGGCGATTTGCAACACTCTTACTTATTTCTTGCATCATTAGTGTGGAAGTTTCAAATAATTGTTTTTTGCTGTGCTGTTTTGGACTGGATAACCAGTCGTTGGATGAATTTATTTTTTTAACTCTGCATGCATATCATGCTACAAATTCTGCTTTAGTATCTGGTGTTTTATTGTTTTTATCCCCTCTTTGCTGATGTCAAAAAGGGGGAGAAGGCTATACATATATTCGTGCATGTATATCCATTGCAGGGGGGTCGACTATAGATACTACAGGAGAAGTCGACTAAAAGAA